GTGATTTCTGTTAATACTGTGTGGAACAAAGGAAGAGTTATAACAGAGTATAATTTATCAGTGTTTCCAACAAAGATATCCGATATAAATGATATGAATTTCACGTTATTAAATAACAAATCTTTCAACAAATATGGAAGAATTCTACATTAAAGAAATCCAGTTGATACCATGATTACATACATACCAATTTGTAATTTTATGTAGTTGTTTGGTATAAACATAACCAAATTATTACTAGTTGAAATATTTAGGATGCAAGTTAATTATTCATGAATTTAAAACATCATGATGATCAATAATGTTACAAGTTTACTTCTGAAATATGGAAACTCAACAATAAAAACTTAATAACTATTGTGTTACATTCATTTAAATTTTATAATAGGGACGTAGGTTTTATTTATCCTTTCCCAAACCGTTCATTTTACTGTTTAAATCACTGAAAACCAACAGTAGTTTGTTTTAATTGTGTATTTCTTTTTGAAAGATGTTTACTGAGTACGATTTATATAAAACAAGACAAGCACACTGGACATATTAATACGTAAGAAATACTATCAATATTTAGGGGGGAATTTTGAACATTTGTGGATGTGTATCATTCATTGTTTAATTTAATGGCCTTGGTGATGAATTTTATAGAACAAATAAATAGTTACACCCAACCTACTTAGGTTAGTTCTTAACACTGAATTCTGCGACAGAAAATTTGTTTGAAGATTTACTCTAAACAATAATTTAATAGGTTTACTCTTGAGCTGTTCCTTGAATATTACTAGTTCAACTAATGACAAAATGTATACATATTATTATTATGAAATGTAACAACTTGAGATATCGGTATCTGGCCTACTTGACAGGATATTAGAACCTACTGGCTAAATAGTTTAAATTTACATATTCTTTACAATGAAAAGCAGAACTTAAAATCTATCATACATACTAGTTATAAATAATAAATAAACTAACACAGAGAGGTGTAATTACTACATACACACTACTGGATTAGAGTTAAGGGACAACAACAGATTTTTATAATTTTTCTGAACTAATGCACCAAATTGTTTTTGGACCCATGACTATTGGTTAAACAGCCCCCTGGTAACATACAAGTCAAACATAAAAAACTTAAATATATCATCAATATTGCAGTAAACCTCACGTTACACAAAATAATCATTTCTAGGCCCAGCTAGGAGCTAAACTTTGATTGTTCATTGTTACACAAAATCATCATTTCTAGGCCTAGCTACGAGCTCAACTTCGATTCTTCATTTTTACACAAAATATTCATTTCTAGGCCTAGCTACGAGCTAAACTTCGATTGTTCATTAATGAAGAATCAAAGTTGAGCTCGTAGCTAGGCCTAGAAATGATTATTTTGTGTAACAATGAAGAATCAAAGTTTAGCTCCTAGCTAGGCCTAGAAATGATATTTTGTGTAACAATGAACAATCAAAGTTTAGCTTCTAGCTAGGCCTAGAAATGAGTATTTTGTGTAACTGCACTCTGAAGTAAAAAGTGGGAAACTAAATACTAAAAACAGTATCCATATATGTTACAGACATATGTTTGTACACATCTTTGATAATAATTAATATTGATATGTCTTAGGCTAAACGGACAAAGAAAGTTGGTGTGGTTGGAAAGTATGGGACCCGTTATGGTGCTTCTCTTCGGAAAATGGTAAAAAAAATTGAAATCACACAGCACTCCAAGTACACGTGTACCTTCTGTGGCAAGGTGAGTCCGTGTTTACTACTTGAAACTAAAAATTGTGTTGTCACATACGTGAATGAACTTCACAAATCTTGTGTTCAGTTTCTATATGTGCAGTACCTGTTATCCCTCAGATTAATGTCTTGTCTACGTATCGTTTGTTACTAGCAGGAAGGTTACAGACACTGCATCATGTTGACTAATTTTATGTCTTGAATACAGGAAACAATGAGACGAACCTGTGTTGGGATTTGGAAGTGTAGAGCATGTCAAAAAACAGTGGCAGGAGGAGCATATGTGTACAGGTAAGAATTTGGGGTTGTATACTTCCAGAAAATCTCCATGTGTAGTAAGTTTTAAGTAATTACCAAGAAGTGTTTTAAAACTTACTACACATGGACATTTTCTGGAAGTATACCCCACATGACTAGAATTCCCTTAAATTACGTAGGTGACACAGGAGTTTCTGAACATAAAACTAGTCAAGAACACCCACATGACTAGAATTCCCTTAAGTTACGTAGGTGACACAGGAGTTTCTGAACATAAAACTAGTCAAGAACACCCACATGACTAGAATTCCCTTAAGTTATGTAGGTGACACA